TATAGCCTTTACAAATTATGGAATAATTACATACTAATATCAAAATTCATTTTTGGTTTTTTGTTGATAAAAATAAGCTGCACTTTTGAGTACAGGAGTTTACGGATTACAGTACATTGTTTCTCCACTAAATATTATACAAATTTTCTTTTTCTATAGTACAGTACAGTGAAATATACACTATAGTACACTGAAAACTACTTTTAGAGATAGCTCACAAGAAAAAATGATTTTTATCTTCTCATTTTAATATAAATATTCAAAATGATATTTAATAAGCACTGCAGTAAACTGTATTAGTACTTAAATATATTAACTGAAATAGTCATAAGTTATTATTAAGCGAATTTTTTTTAATGCAAATTATATTAGTGCAAATTCAACTAATTGAAAGAATAATTCTATTTAAATAAAAGATCTAGTCATTTCTCAAAGAAATTCAACTAGAAGAATTTCTTTGTTCAATATCCAAACATAATTTTTGAAAATTTTTAAAAAAATTTGAAATGATCATTTTATGACATTGGTAATAGAACAAAGTTTTCGAGTTAAATTCAAAGCATGTCATGCATATTATTACATAAATGCAATAAATAGGATTATTTGCACTTATTCAGCTTGAAGTATTTAATTTAGTACTTTCAGCACCGGGATAAATTTGAACATTTCTAAACCAATACCAGAAGAATCCTTTTATATAATTATTAAATCAGAAATGTAATTAATAATAGTAATAAAAGAAAGTTATTAGACGATTTTGGTTAGATTAAAATATTGCAAAATGCCTAAAACTTAATATTAATTTTCTGTGCTACTAATCAGTTCAAATTCTCTGTGACATTTACTAATATATCAATAATTTGTTAATACTTTTATTTGTTTATTTCCAGGACATAATGCAAGATGCTATTTGAATATTTCAAAGGGATTTGTTACCACCCGTTGAATAGACGAAATGGCGATTATGCTCACATTTTCCAATTGTACTATCCGTGAATATTCTGACATTTTAAATTCTGAGATTAATTTCTGTTAAGAGTTATTGATTTCTGATATTTGGTACTAGTAATTATGTCTATATTCTTTTAACTTTATTATTGATTTGAATAGAACATATTTTATGCGCATTTTCCAGCCAGATCTTCTCAGTTCAACATATCCTTCTATTTTCCTCAAGAATGATATCATAATTTGAGGATTACTTTCAACTTATTTTTCTCACTTTCGGTTTACTGTAATATCAATATCTGTTTTTCAATGAATCATTTTGCTAATTATGCGAATTTTTTGAAGTAATCAATTTTGGAGATATGACTCATAAAGCTATATCAATTTTGTCATTCTGTTATCAGCACTTGCTTATTTTGGAAAGTATACATCCTAGTATTTCGAATTGGATTATCTGGTTTAAAGCAACTGAAGTTTCTGTACTGTTTGCGCTAATTGCTAACAATTAGCAACTTTGCAAAAATGTATGCAATAATTTTTGATGTTTTAATTATGATAATTGCACGATTACTACCTTGTTTAGAAGGTAAAAGTAATAGTGATGACTTTACTACTTCTGATCCAGCCTGCGATACAATGGTACCAACTTATAATCAAAATATTATCACTCCATTACAGCAAACTATTTTTAAAATTCGAATCTTTAATGAAAATGGCCGTGAAACTTTTGAATATGATGCTGAAAATAAAAAAATTCTGCAAGGTTGGCAGCTTTTAGCCTTCTCAAGTATTTGACAATAACAAATTCTTGAATTACTTTGAATTAGAAAATTTTTCACAGCAAAATAATGGATTTATGCAAATTAATTACTATGAGATTCATGCAGAGCAGTGAGTGAGTGTACAATTTTTATTCATACTAAATGTGAGCAAAAGTCAGTTTTTTAAAACTGTCTTGCTTTGATATTTTTTAAACTATTTTTTTATTCTCAGTTTTTTGAATTTGAATATTATACATTTTCATTTGCTAAATTTATCTAAAATGAATTAATTAATAATATTTAAGATTGAATATTGTTGGATTAAACATAATAAAGTAAATAGATATAACTAATTTTTTTTATACATAATTCTAAATCTGGCATAGTTTATTTTAATTCAAATTTAATTCACTACAGTAAGTGAAAACTTTTGTGTAACTTTTTTAAACTGCTCAAAATGTTGAAGTTCGAGTAGAAGGTGGACCATTTGAACGAGCTCAAATTCAAGCCCGTTCAATTATCAATCCAACAAGTCAAGCAGGTCGTTTTGTAAGACCTGTGCCAAAATACTTCAAACTCGTTAACTGTAGTGGAAATTACGGTCAGTTTCGAGTATTCTAAGTGAAAATGATTGATGCAACTTGACACTTTTATTATTTGCACAATTTTACAAATTTAAGCAAGATTTCACAGTTGTCACGTCAGAAGCAATCAAAATGCCATTTCTTTCATCGAATAAATTATTTCTTCCAATGAAATTGAACGAAGTTTAGAAAATTTGTTTCAAAAAAAATCAATTAAAATTTTAATTTTAAAAATTTTTATTTTTGCTTCTAAGAAGAAAGCATTTTAAAATATGAAAATATTTTGAATGAATTATAAAATTTGATTGAAAGAGCACAAGCAGTCAAAACTGTTTTTGGGGAGTAAATTTAAACAAAACAATCATTTAAATTGTTCCAAAACACAAAACAAAACAAGACAAGACGAGACAAAGCATTAATATCTGAAAAAAATAATATTCTGTTTTTTGGAATAATTTTAAAGCCATTAAAATTTTTAAATTATAAGCAAATAGTATTTTAATTCAAAATATCATTCTCAGATCGTGTAATTATGCAATTTATAGCTAAACAAAATATATCAAACATAATTTTGTGCCGATTAAAATTGAATTAAAAAGTATACTTATTTTTAAATTTATTTTGCAGTTTTTGAAATCATACTGTAAATAATGTCTTTGTATCTCATTTACATGTTATCTTTTGTTTTCCTCAAATATTCATGTATAAGTAATGATTTTTCTGCTTCTCATTTATTTAATTATTTAGTAAAGTTGCTTTTCAAGAATGTACTCGAAATTTCTTTTCGAGTACATAAGTCTTAAATTTAAGTGAGTAATTAAGTTTTCAATCTCATCTCACGAATTAATTTTAGGGAGTGCAATAATAAACGATGGCATAGTATCGAGGCGACATACAAGTTTGAATTGGCAACCGCCAAACGTTCCTTCGGGAGCAATTATTTTCCTTGCAAGTGTAATCCACTCGAGACAATTGCACCATATCCGTTCTTCCTTCTTGTCGCCTATTTCAAATACTACCAACAGTATTTTTGCTTTATTACTTTTCAGATTACTATCACTCTTGTCCACTTCTAATTCATTTCCATTTCTGATTTTCAATTCATGCAAAAAAAAGCACAGAATTAGATCAATTCTTGCCAGTAACAAAAAAAATTTTTCTACTTGATCTATAAGTTAAATGTTAGCATCAGTAGTCAGTAAAAATGATAATTTTCTGAAGCAAATGCTAAAAATGTCAATAACAAAAATTCTTTAATTTGCTTTCCGAAAGGATTAACGTTGCGTTTGTTTACGAGATCATTAATAACTGAAAAATACTTTTGACTTTTAATGTGAAATGATAATTGAACTTAGCTTGAAGCTTATTTTTGCGCTCAGAATTTGAATTTCAGTAACAAATCGAGGCTGTGGTAATTATTATGGATGCTTCAGAATTGGCACTTCAAAATGTATATTCGGTGAAAACTGCACCTTTTCACTGAAATGGCGTTGTTATAAGCAGTCAATGATCGTTGAGGCCATGCATTTTGGCCATATTGCATCGTTTGGCTTAGCTGAGGTGAGAAAAGTCTAACTTTCTATTTTAGTAAACCTTTTTTAACTAAAAGTTAAATTCTGACAAGTCGATTGAACTATTGTCTAAAGCTACATTTCCCTTAAGAGTTACTTTGCTCAAGAAGTAAAGCTGCAATAAAGATGTAAACTTCTGAGTTTCATTTGTATATTTAACTCATTATTTTCCAAAAAATTTTCCAATACCATTCTAAATATACACTAAATAATCACAATTGCAGAATGATTTCCATCTTTTTTGCCATTTATTTCAATAAACACATATGAATATAAAGGTCAAAAGGGTAATTTTGCAAAATTTTTTACACTTTAAAAGTTTACAGTTGATTCACAATATAATTAAGAAGTACAGCAAAACCAAATATTATTGCTGTAAAAGGTCAAAAGACAATCTGAAAGCAATTTTAAGCCTTTTTTTCTGCATCACTGAGGTATTTCAATCACTTCAATTAAGCATAACTTATCGATTTATTATTACATTAATCTATTCTAAATGCAATTTAACTACTTGTTTTCATTATAAAAAAATAATTTGCTATTTAACTTTAATAAATTATTATTCATTTTTGCAATTTAAATACTTTTAGGTAATCAATGATGAAAATTAATTTATAGACTGAAAAACGTGCAGTACTTTGCATTGCAACTAATAATAACTCATCCTTGGATGATTACTATATTTCGGGTGATCGCGGATTTCCAAATATTTTCGATCAGCCTCTCAGTAGGCGACTCAAAACAATTAATGATGGCGTGCGTACTTTTTGTCGGTCAGTTGTGATTAACACCGAAAATACTTTTTATTTGCAGTGGAATTTTGATTATACCAAATAATTTTATCAAGAAAAGTACTGTGAAAAATATACTTCAGTTTTCGAATGAGACTTACCAATATATCAACTAAGAAACCTTTTTTAAAAATAGAAAATTAATATTAATTTTTCTAAAATAGTTCACTGTTATTGCAGATTTGAAATGCAGCGACCAAGGAAGAACACATCTGTATTATTATTTGGGAAAGTTAATTCTTGTAAGTCATTTTGTGAATTTTTAAGATATAAAAGTAATTAGTAAGTCAGTGAAATACAGGAAAGCGAAAATTTTGAATGTGTAATAATGATAACAAAAAATGAAATGAAATTAACAGAAATATTTTGTATTTTTCATTTCATTTCTCTTCATTTCTGTGCATTCGTAATGTTGTATGCTTCATTTTATACCAAAATAAATAAATTTGAACTGACATTTATTTCATTACGTAAACTAGCAAGGAAAAATAATATAAAAATTGTGAATCAGTAGGACAAAATTTTCAAAAATACTAACTTTTATTTAACATAAACTTTGAATGAAATTACAATTTATCATACATTTAAGATGGTCATCCATATAAGCTACGTAAGTGGCGAATACCTGGATCAAATATGTGTGATCCGAATACAATTTCGTCTGGCCTGACCAGGTCAATCTCAACTACCCCAGCGTTTTCTTCCGTTTCGAACTCAAAAAAAAGTGCCCTAACTGCCATACTTATTTCAATTTACATATTTTATTAGTCATATAATTTATATAAATTTGTTGTTAAAATTTGTACGGCAGTAATTTGTATATCAGTTCTCAAAAATCTATGATAATGTCAATATCACATGCAACTTTTGTATTTAATTGCTAACAATTACTATGGCAAATAAATGTTTGTTGAATTTGCGAGTATTTAATGCAATAGAAATACAAAACTTTCTGATATAATAGAAAATCATTTACAAATACTTCCGAAATTTCGTCTTTATCAAAAGTTTCATGTCAAAATTGATAGAATTTTCTCATAAATGCTTTTATTAGAGTTTACTTTTGAATTAATATTTATTTATAGTTGAAATAATTCATTTAATTACATTTTATTAGCCGATTAAAAAAATGGTATGGTTGATGGAAAGCACAAATTTTAATAATGCTGAAGTTTATGCTCTTTAAACAATAATAGCGCAAATATATGCATAATATCCTCATGAATAATTGTGTTTTACTGCGAATAAAACAGCTAATTTATGTATTTATAAAAGTTTTTCACATCAGTCAAAATTTTTCATGCAAATTTTATTTTTTCAAGTAAATAATTCTCATTTAGTCTTAAGCACAAAATCTGAGCTAATCATAAATTCTAGAAATGTCATTTAAGAAATTTTTATTCATCAAGAAGCTTTAACTTAGTAATTTCCAACATTGCTAGATTTCGAACATTGCTAGATTTAAACCAATTCAGATTTTCTTTTAGCTTTTTGATTTGCTTATTATTTAATGAGTATCTAAAGATAATACTAATAATTATATTAATATTAATTAACAAATTAGAATAATGATAATAATAATAATAATAGTGAAGCGATGCTACTTTTTGATAACTTTTAATGAAAAAACAGCACTGATAGAGGCAACGTTGATACTAGCCGCAACAATTATAATGACGGTGATGGATAAGGCAGACTATTAACAATGTAATATTTAAGAATAGAAAAGTAATTTTTATTAAAATTATAAAAAGAAGGCAGTTGCAATGAACTGAAAAGACTCCAAATGAAAGGCATTTATTCGTTTTTTTGGGCTAAAAGTTTGATTCGTTTAATTCGTTTTGCAAGAAAAACAAAAAAAAACAATATTTGTTTCTTCAAATTTATTATTGACAAGTGAATAAGTTAATAAAAATAGTTTACTTTCATACAAATAAGTATAAAAACTCATTTATAAAAATTTTGCATTTTTTTAACTTTTTTTTTCGAAAAAAGACGAATTTTCAGTCTATAAAATATTTGCACAAAAAATATGATTTTAAGTAATTGCAATTTTATTTGCCGATTAAACTATTCTTCATTAATCAAAAGCAGTGTGCTAGTTTTTTTTCTTTAAAAAATTAAAATATATTTTATGAAGTAAAATTGTACTCATCTTTCTTTCCTCTTTTAATATGTAGGCAGCATTTGGCAAGAAAAACAATCTGTTCAGAAGTGTTAGAAAAATGATGTCGGATTAGAAAAGTAGAGCAGTTTTGTTTGAATTGTTTTCTACGCACTTAAAAATTTTTTTTTTTTAAAAAAAACTAATTTTCAAATTTAAATTTTCATTCATTCGATTAACTCATGCATTTTTTACTGTTTTGTTTACCACATTTATTATTATTATTATTATTATTATTATTATTATTTGACAGAAACAAATTACAATCTGAAAGTTGTAGTTTGTTGTTTATCGCAATTTTTATAATATATTTTTCAAGGTTCGATACTTGTCTCATTTGCAGTTAATGAAAAATTTTTACTTTCTAGGATTTAAAATATTTTTTACTGCCTGAAGTAAATAAACTAAGAGACTACTACTCTAAGCGTTATTTAGGCAATATATCTGAAACAGTGAAAAATTTGTCTGAAAGTTTGTTCACGAAAATATCAACAATTATTCAGTCATAATTTAGAAATTAGCTGATAGTTTTATAAATAAATCTGTAAAGACAAACTGAGATTGAATTTTCATTCCAAAGTCCAAAGGAAATTCAGATCCTAAAATTAACATAAGTCTAATTCATCACTTTTATTAGCAGTAATGTTGGATAGAAATCGATGAAGAAGTTTATGTCTTTATCTTATAAATGTTAAACGATTTTCAATAATTAATTTTATAAATAAAATTTACTTTTCAAAAGGATAAACAAATAAGAGATGTGCGTGTAGAGAGATCATTATTCGCGATCAGTGCAGTTTGAAAAGTTGCATGTACCTTTCCAGCTATCACTTTTAATTCAACTTTATGCAAATGTAACAACTTGTTGAGAACCAATTAGTTCTTTCTATTCATCAAATGCTCTTCGCAGCTGTTACCTACTTGCCTTAATTTTTATTATTCCAATTCCTTTAATAATAATAATAATTATTATTATGGCTATTTGTTATTATCACAATCATTATTATTATTTATTATTATCATCATTATTATTTATTGTTACTTTTTATTATTAATATTTATTATTATTATTGATATTAATATTAATAGTATTGTTATTATTATTGTTATTATTGTGAGTGTCATATCATTTGCAAATTAGTCATGAGTACACAAAGAAGAAATATTGTTTATAAAATATGAATGCGAAGACCGAGATGTGAGATGGTTCCGAATTGACTTGCTCTAAGTTGAAAAATACTTTTCCTTTGCAGTGCTTAATTTCTCTCAGTTGTACTAACGCGTTTTTAAGTCTGTTCATTAATTTTTGAGCTGAAAACCTTTCAGAATTTGTTGAGATGGAAAGTATTTGTTTGTATGAGTGAGTTAGAATGAACAGAGAGTATTCTGCTTAATTTATTTTTATTGTATGGAAAATAGCAGAAAAAATCATCGAGTAGAAGCAATCAAAGTTTTTTAGTTTTTTGTTTTTTGATATCGAAGAATAACCAAATTTTCAAATCTAATCAACAATCTTTATATTATGTCCAAAATACAAATTTGAAATTTGTTTTATAACAATTATTATCATTAATAATAATAATAATATTGATTGACTGATAATAACAATTTTTTTTTTCGGTCAGCGTTGTAACCATTTATAATCATTTGTTTTTAACTTAACGGCGGGGGGAAAATATTCTATAAGCTTATGTTTCAACATTAGCAAATTGACAGAGTACACAATTTCATCTTAAACTGATTAACTGATCTAATCAGTTCACCTCAAATAACTGATCCAAAAGCTGAGATCTTCAGCTTTACATCAGCTACTCATCAAACTTTTGCTTTTCTGAAATGCTTCGTACTGTACTTTTTATTTACGACCGTTGCTAACTAGCAGACGAAAGCAGAGGTCTTTCGATGACTCACAAATGCCAAGCAAAAGTCACTTATGTGAGAAAAAAGTAAAGGTCAATGAGGTAGTGTTTACAAAAAGTTATGGTAATATTTACAATTAATGCAAGGATCAGAAAGCTTTTGCATAGAAATCCATCATTGCCTTTGCCAATAATTGTCTGTTTGAATGAGTATCGCTTCAGTTCTTTATTTTTTTAATAATAGTAATTATTAACTACAAATATAATTATTAATACAAATGTAATTAATAATTTCTATTAATTAATTGGAAGATGCGACAGCAATTCAGTTTTTATAAGACTGTATACATATTTTTGTGCACGGTAGTGTGCTATACCTGCCATTACCACCACCAAAATTACTTGTATTACAAAGTATTATCACTACCATATCATACACTGATATTAATTAGCCATCGTTATATCATTCTATTTTAATTAATGTTGCGAGCAACTGAAAATATTTGTGATATTTTTTTATTTGTTTATTACTAACTTGAAATGAATTTTCATAAAAAGAGCGAATAACTGAAAACAAATTGCAATTTACTATCGTAATTTTTATTGCCGTTTCATTTTTTAATATTGCGATTCAATCCAAAGTATATAAATTTTTTACGTTAAAACTAATTTCTTGACTATAATTTGAGTGTGCGTGTTTGTAAACGTGAATGCATATTTACGCATCTCTTGCATAGATGTATATTTCTGTACTTGTCATGCACAAGCAGGCATCGGAATAGCAGTAATTCAACTTAGAATCCTTTGTAAACTGAAAATATCTTATTGTCAAGATTAATCTGAGATAAAGATAAAAATTCTAGCCATTCATTGAAAATCGATGTCATTTGAAATATCGCCATTAAATACAATTTAAAATTTTGCATAATATAAAAGTTCGACTTAAAATCAACTTTGCTCATTTTTTTCTGCAATTTTTAGACACCATTCTTAAATATTTATTGAAATTTAACTACAAAATGATGTAAGTTTTGCAATACTTTCAAAAAATTTTTTGCCACAATTAAATTTAATTCATCGAAAGTCAGTTTTCGACCTTCAAGGCCTGCAAAGTTTAATATATTTATAATGCCTATTTTATTTTATTCTCTAAAAATGCATTTTCCGATGCAGTTTTTGCTCATAATCAGGTTATTCTTCTGAGGGACCTTGCGCATAATCGATTTCGAGCCTAGTTTAGGCAGGGAAGTCAAAGTGAAGAGCAGAATGGGCCAGTAAGACGAATACATTCACTTAGTCTTTCAATTTTAGAAATAACGAATTCTGGAATTTTTCAGTGAAATAAAGCCGATGGAAAGCAATTTTGCTCAGTTTTTTTGGCTAATTAGTTTGTGCTTTTTTATTTTTTTGCTTACTTTTTGCTCACTTATTTGTTATACTTCAGTTCTATTCACTTGCAAAGTATTATTTGCGCACAATATGCTTATTTATTGCTAAAAAAGCAACTTAATGGCAACACGCAATTATTAATAAACGCTTTATTGTTAATAGCTGGAAAGCAGTTATTAGCAAATTCTTTATTACGCTTAGCTTTAGTTTTCATGTCAAAATTCTACTGCTAAAAGCATTAAAAGTGTGTATAATTGAATAGCATTTTTGGTCATAACATTTTAATGTTTGTTCAATCAAAAATGATTAAACGTTGCGGATAGTTCTATGATGAGAGCTCACTATCATTTATAGTT